TCAGTGGCACAGGCAGGGTAATTGAGCAAAGCGGCTCAGGCAAAATAACCAATGCGGAGGTCTACGACGCGGAGGTTCATGGAGCTCTAGCTGCTCTTGAAGCAATCACTAGCAGGAAGCGAGATCGTGGTCGTAGCGCCATCTATATTCTGCTCGACAATTCTGCGGCCGTCCAGGCCTTACTAACGGGAACAACAGGCTCATCATCCTGGAGGATTCAAAAGTTCTGCAAAATGGTCGCTAGAGCCGCAGCACCTGTTAAAGTAGGATGGATTCCGGGCCACGAAGGGCTGGTAGGAAATGAAATGGCCGATGAGCTCGCTCGAAGAGAGCTTAACTCGTCGGACGACACGAGGACGACACATGGTATGATGACCCTCGCCTCTTCCAGAAGGAAAGCTCGCGAACTGGCCAGGCAGATGGTTACAGACTGGTGGCATTCGAATCGCCCCAGACATTATGCCGACCTCGAACTCGAGATGCGACGCAAGAAACCGCCAGAACTAGCACTACCAAGGGCAGTCTACGCTCGCTTAATAGCCGCTTGAACCGGACATGGAGACTTCGCGGCTTATCATCGCCGCTTCAACCACACTGACGCTACACTTCACTGCAAGTGTGGGAGGGAAAAATCAATCGGTCACCTTGTTCAGTGTCGAAAAGCACCGGCAACATGGCGGCTAAAAAGCGAAGGGCGCCAGCTATAGAAACAATGCTCGGATCAAGCGGGTGGCAACTGTTCAGGGACTACGTCCAGGAGAGCGGAATATATGCGGAGGCTAGCCGGGGGGTGGCAGGGATACCTGTGACTCGGAGGTGATGAACGAAAGCCTAGGTGATCTGGCATGGAAGTAGGGATAGGAATCGAGGCTCGGGCGCGTGGTGGCCGAGGCGGAACGATGGAAGGGAGATTGTCAAAGTCTTTCTTTTGTAATGCAGGATTTTGCGTGGAAGTTTTCTTTTGTTTTGTTTTCAACTCTGGGCTGCTGTACTCGTCATGCTTCAACACATAGATGTGTTCCGGCATGGTTCCGGTCATTGAGGTGGGACGAGGCACTTGTACTTTACGGTAGTTAACCTGATCCGGCCCGACCCCACTCGTGCTCAACCTCCAGTAGGAGTGCGACGGTAGTTACTTCACCTAGCACGTTAATGAACAAACAAACAAACAAACAAGTCTGCAGCGCCCAGCTGGCTGGCCTCGTCGAAGGCTTCGGCAGGGGCACTATGTCTTAGGATTTAGTCCTAATGTCGGTATTAGAATAGCCCCGCACCCAGTGGTTTTTACCATTTCCTCGGCTACCATCTACCCAGAAATAGTCGTCGTTTAGATGGCTAGAGAGAGGAAGTAATGGAGGGCGAAGAAATCTTTTTAGTGTATGATAGAATGATGGCTTATGAGGGGTGTTACTTTTTGAAGGGAGTTATATGGGAGCTATAGGATCGGGTATACTGGTAGTGTGGGTATTCTTGGCCTGTTGACAGATAGGACCTGCAAGTCCTATGTAGTCACAGACTGAGAAAGATAAAGAAGATAATTTATCTGGATCACATTGATTGGTATTAAGTGTAGGCCTCCATGCACGGATGTTGATCGAACTAGGGACTTGGCACCTACATAGGATTACTCTATTTTTTTTTTTGCATCAGATTTTAATTGCGTATGCAGCTATCTAGCTATGACACAATGTCAAAGAAAAGATGACTCAATTTACAAGAGGAGCACTCATGCCTCGGATTTCATTCGCAAGTACCACTGCGAAATTATGGTGGCTTTTTCTTCACCCCAAGTCAACCCTAATCCGTGAATACCCACCCAGGGGAACGTCTCAAAAACCCTGAGTTATTCAGACATGCCTCCGTCATCCATCAACTTTTCTCCGCGCGAAATTTAATCTGAAATGTCTCCTTCCCAAGTGGAGTAGGTGCCCAGGCTACTCAAACTATACCAGAGAATATCACCAGGAGGCGGATCACAACACCTTCCATCGTCGGCTTGTTTTTATAGTGTCAGCTGCACTCTCGCAAGCGAAGTCTTGGCGCGCAAAAAGCCCAATTCGTAGAACTCTTGCCAATCTTCGAGGTTTCACGCCTGTCGAGAATGTATCCCTCTTCTGCATCATCTTGTAAACTTGTTCTGATCCCTCTCACGTCCATCCCAAAGAGCTATCTCCCAGATTTGTGCTCCACGTTTTGCTTCCTCCGTCGGGTATAAATATCGGCGTGGGCGTGTATTTGGTGACCGGCTGAGGCCAGAGAAAGTCGACGAGAGGTGTGGTCATTGAAACGAGGATGTACTAGATCGTACTTGTAGACTTGATGAAGCTTTTTTGTGAATCGGACTCTTTGGGAGTGAAAGATTGACATGGTGGAGTAATTTGAATTTTTCCCTCGTGGGCCAACTTCTTTGATATCGCGAAATTTGACTGAACTTGGCTCTGGGAGAATATTTCACTCTCAGGTTCGTAGAGGACACCACGTACAGGTGTTCAGTCTTGCCCTCCCGGATAACTCTCTGTAGATAGCATAGATAGAGAAAGAGGAACAGAGTGACCAACCATTACATATCTGCTAGCAGATTCAGCCTGTGCCAACATAATTCTTTTTTTATAGAAAAAATCCCCTGCTCAAGTGCGATCCAAATGTATATATATTGGTCTGATAATGTTAGTCGGGATCATCAATGAGAGGAGTTTCGGAATCAGTTATTCAGCTTGATTCGTTTGGCATCGGTAGTTCTTGCTTTGCGTTTAGTTATTGATTTGTGGATTCTGTTATTCGGATTATCCTTTATCCGTATCGCAGATAGATGGCAATTCCATAGCACCAATGGAGAATAATACGCATGACTGTAAATACCCATTTCCTCTGAACCATAGTATGAACTAGTCACAAGAGTACTCTCATAACTTTAGGCGAACTAATCGACTTTTAGTGTATGACCTTTGTCATACCAACAGGGAGGAACTGATACCTTTCTTTATTGTCCTTTCACAGTTCTTGACTACTTATGATACTAAATAGTTATCCAATACGGGAAATATGTCAGAGATCTTTTAAGTGACTGGAGAGAAAGGGAGCACCGTAGAAGATGTGACCTGGGCCAGAGAAGAGCCTAACGTGCTAGGTAGTCATAGACTCAAGTAGCAAAATAAGCCCACACACACACACAAACTGTAACTAAATGTTAAAACAATGTTTCAATACAGACTGGCGTTTTAAAATTCAACTGTAGCGCATCACGGGGCCGTTCAGTGCAGTGCGAGGTTTAAGGTAGAGCGCAGGGCTCTAGCGCCTTGGAAATGGCGGTTTTATTTATTTTTGGTGTTGTGGTTCCGGCTCCTCTTAATCAATCATGTATATAGCGAAGTGTTTTAGATGGATCTGGACTACCCTTGCCATGCCCTCTGGCTACCAAGGTGGTAGCCGGTGAGGATAAAGGCGCCTTTGAGACTCGGGACTAAGGGGTCATTGTTTCCTTGACATTATTTGACAATCGGCTAGCGCCCAATTTGGGCTGGATGGTGCAGTGGTACACCATCCCGGCCGTTATCTCAAGTAGATTAGATTAGATTAGATTTTTATTATAGTCCTATCTGAGTCTACGACTATAGAGGACTTCTAGCTTCTAAATGAAAGAGACATACAAATTTCGATAAATCCAACCATTTTAATTCCCCATATTTTCTCATAGATAGTGAGGAACAAGTCCTGTATGGTATTTAAATTAAATTATATTTTCTTTTATTTTTGACCCTATTTTTTCCCAGCGCCAACTACTGCTTGAGGAGTAAAGTGTCCCACTTCTTTCAATTTATATTACTCTACCCCAGAGTTTGTCTTGCTACTACCAAGGTGCCATACCCGAGTAGATATTTCAGTGCTATTTATATATTCAATGGTTGCTTCAGCTCCTCTTTTAGTGTTAAGTAGCAACTTCAAGCTCAGGGGATTTCCATTCAACTTCTCTTTCATCTCTTTTTGTTTATGTTTATAATTACTACAGCTTAGTAGTAAGTGTTCTGGTGTTTGTCGCTTGCCACAGCTGCATTTGTCCTCTGTACTTAATCCATGTTGATATAAATATGCTTTATTATAGCCATGTCCTAGTTTGAGTTGGAAGTAGGCACTAACTGTTTTTCTTTTTGTTCCATTTGGCACCTGGATTTTCGGGCTGATTTTCCAATTGAATTTTTTCCTATATGACAATGGATTCAGCTGTAACCTAAGGTCATTCTTTCTGAGATATTCCATCCATTGGAGGCGAATTTCACTTTTTAATCTGGATCCCATCATGGCAAAACTTGTTTCCATTGTTTCAGGGAGCATTCTAGATGCTTCTTTTGCTAGTTTATCTGCAACTTCATTACCCTTGATACCAGAATGTCCTGGGATCCAGTTTAATGATACAGTAGCATTTTTGGTCATGATTCTTTCAGATGCTATCATAGCCCTTATTTGGCAAGACTGTCCGGGATTATCAGAAAGGTTGGCCAGCCGAAGTAGTTATCTCAAGTAGAATCTGGGTAGCTTGAACACATATCCCATTTGAGACAAGAGAAGGCTGGTTCGAATCCAGTTAGACCCACACACCACACTCTCTCGCGGTGTTATTGTATTTGTGGGATAATGAAAGTACACTCGGAAAACCATAGTTTTTCACGCTTTTACATATGGTGGGTATGCATGGAAGAGATTACAGACCGTAAGGGTTAACCTTGGGTCGTGTCTGCGAATGAAATCTGAGTGATAGTGTTCTTAACGTCAAATTGAGTCATTCTGCTTAAAGTACATATCTTCCCATGAAACCTGCATGGGTCTCAAGGTGTCAAATCATGAAAATTGAATTATTTATTTATGCACCCAATCTATTGATTATGTAACTCGGACTTACAGCCTGGCTGTTTGTGCTACTCCGCATGAGAACGCACTAGATGAGAAGCTGAAATTCTTGGCTTTCCTCCCAGCTCCAGATTAAACTACGAAATAATACGACATTAATGAAGGTCATTCACGTTCAATTTGCAGCAATCCAAGGTGATATCGCCGGCAGTATATCCAAGGTGGAAGGATTGCTCCACGACGTCCAGCCCGAGGATGTAGATTTTCTCCTATTACCCGAATTGGCTTTTGCAGGTCAGTGAGCTCAACGGCTCTGCAGCAAGCGGGCAGCCTGAGAGCCGAAACTGAACGAAAGATGCACAGGCTATAACTTTCCATCTTTAAATGCCATCCAGCCCTACCTTGAGCTCAGCGAGTCTGGTCCCTCAAGTGCGTGGGCGCGCACCACAGCACAGCGCCTACGAAGTATTGTCAGTGTCGGCTATGCCGAAAAGGTACATGCTTCATCTACATCTGCATGCACCACGAACTATAATTCCAATATCACATATTGCCCAGATGGTCGGGTGATTGCACATTATCGCAAGCGCTTTCTCTACATGACTGACGAGTCATGGTGCGCGGAAGGAGGAGAGGGCTTCTATGCCGGCAAATTTCCTGCTCCCGTGAACCAAAGTATTGCCCTCGGCATCTGCATGGATATCAATCCTTACCGCTTCACAGCTCCGTGGACTGACATGGAATTTGCTCACCATGCACTTGAAGTAGGTGCTCAAATGGTAGTGGTTTCAATGGCATGGAACAGCTTAACCCTATCACATGAAGAAGTCCTCCAGAACCCATCGAACATGGAGCCAGATCTTGAAACACTTGATTACTGGATCCAGAGATTCAAACCATTGGTCGAGGCAAATAATTCCGTGCTCCTGGTCATGGGAAATCGTTGTGGTACAGAAGAGCAGGTTGTTTATGCCGGGACGAGTATGATTGCTAGGGTTGGAGGGGGATCTGTCGAAATTTGGGATGTAGCTGGCCGAGGAGAAGAACGGCTTTTGGTCGTTGATACAGAAACCAAGCCCCAGTTTAATTTGAAATTTGAACCGCGCAAATTTACTGCCTCCGCCTGAGATTACGCTGCAACCATGGTCACAGAGTTTGCTCCCTTAAATCACTAGAATGATCGAACCAAGGCGCTAACTCCTCTTATTTCAAGGCCGCTTTTCACATCTTGCATGCATAAGCTCTAGTCTTGACACAAAAGTATTACTTACTGTAGTTTTATTACAACGACATTGAAACTCAACTCAGATCTTGCTAGTCGTAGCCACTTACACAACTTTTGCATATTCTTCTATCTATCTGTGAGCAAACTTTTTGCTTTATTTCGGTAGGTGAGTTAGTTGAATAATCCCTTTTGGGTAACTTTCGATAGTGATGGAGTCGCGCCTTTTAGTTCGTGATGTTTATTTACATTGATGACTTTCATATGACACTACGCTACATCCAGCACCACAAATTTATAGAAATTATTATCATGGCTTTTGGATATACCGTGAAATTTGGACGAGAAAGGATAACAGTCCAACGTAAAACTAGAAAGAAAAGTATATGGAGTTAACATAATATTACCTAGAAGAGGTCCCCGTCCATTCCCTCAAACCTTTATTCTAAATAACCCTTCCCCATAGTCATGAACGGGAAGCTTATAATTTTTAAAATTAAGCATAGGCTAGGTGATGGTGGATGAAAGATTTGCGTTGTAGGCCTTGATGCAGTAGAATAGATACGAGAAAAGAATCTAGTAGAATTAAATTCAAGTCCCCACTGAATCTTTGACTGTGAAGAACTTCAAAAGCCATTTGAACAGCTTTAAAGCTTAATAGAAATTTTGAATATTGAATTGTTTAATATTTGCCAATGAATACTGGGGGTCAAAGAGGACCTGCATGTCCTACATAGTCACAGACTCAGACAAGACAATAAAATGAATTAACAAAAACTGGGGGTCAAGCTCTAAGATACGAGATTTCTAGAGAAACACTGGATACATCACAATTCTATGCTGTAAGTGTTGGTATGAGAGGGTTAATCTCTATGATATCACAGGTAATGAGAATGGGTTTACTACTGCAGAAGTGGTGGCTGATTAGAACAAATATTTGTTTGTGTATATCCACTCAGCTGCCTAAGGCATAAATCCAATCTCAGGCCTACTGGAGCAATTGCTCTAACAATAATTTTACAAAGTCAATTTCCTTTACGGCCCTGGACCTCGGAGGAACTTTGATTCCATTCTAATCTGTCTACATTCAATTAGCGGAGCTAGTCGGCAAAGACGAATTCTTCACCTTCCAGTGGTGCCGGTTTAATTGCTCAGTATGCTCTGCATATCTGGGATAGCCAATAAAAATTGCATCCGAATCGAAGTCGAAAGCAACCCCAAGCACATCTTCATTTGACGACTTCTCGAAAATGCCTCTCTTACCATACTCATTTGAGTCCTCAACCTCTCTCTAATCACGAATAATACCCCCTTAAAGACCAATAGAGAAGTTGCTCCAATTGCAAACAGGAGCTTGCCCTATTAATTTGCAGCCATCTCTCAATATATATTTACGATGCTATTTATATCTGCAAGGAGGAAATCAAGTAGGAAAATACAAAGCCTGGGTCTTGGCTTATGGGGGTTTGTTGCTCTAATGGGACAAACAACTTGAGGGAGAACTGGCGACTGAGATGTGGAGCGAGAAGGGGAACAGGTCTCTGAAGACCATGCTGAGACTGATATTTTCGAGGAGTTTTCAACTTTGGATTTCTTGTGAGCACCAAGACCAAGATTTCGGCTAATTGGCCAGGAGGACTTCTTTTGTCAATGAGTCAACGGCACTCCCCAGCGCCCTGAACGGCACGAAAGAAGTTGGGCTAAGCTACCACACAGCAATCACGCTCTGTCAAGAATATTCTGACATTTCAGCTCGACCTTCGGGAAGTTGTTGGAAGGAGGCTAGAAAGGCAGAGGGTGAATTCTCCGAGGTACCCATAAGTCTGAAGCGTTCAGCTTGCCGGCTTCTTCGAATGTTTCAGAAGGGTGGCTGTCAGGATTGCTTTCTGTATAATCTATATATGTGAAGATAACATTTTCTTATTAAAGATATGTGGGACACGGTATTACGTTGTAAATGTTGACTTAATGAACCCTATAGCTACAGATGAAATCTATGTACTGCTATGAAGGTCATGTGACCTGTCTAGCTTAGTTTACATGAGTAGGTGAAATGTTACCCTTAGACACACCCCCTTACCTACGAAACTTTACAGGATTTCATCAAGCATCCAAGGTAGTCATATTTAGTTGTCCGACAAACTTTTTAAAAAGAACAGACGACAATGCCTTTGTGAACCCGTCTGCAGCATTTTCTAATCCTGATTTCCATTCCAATTCAATTACTTTGTCGCTTATATATTCCCGCAGTAAGAACACAGGTACATCGTAATGTTTGCCCTTTTGAGTTACGCCCTGTCCTTTTATTTGCCTGTAACCTGGCTGATTGTCATAGTAGAGGCAGACTATCTTTGCGTCGTCTGAGTTGTAGTTGATACTTCGAAAAAGATTTCGAAGAAACATAGCCTCCTTAGCTGCTTCAGCCATAGCATAGACTTCTGCCATAGTTGAAGAACAAGTAACCCTCTTCATTTGATACGAACGCCAAGAGAAACAGGCACCTTTCAGGAAGAAAGCCCATCCACCATGAGAGCGTCGCGTTTCAGGATCTTGGGCATAATCGGAGTCAGTAAAACCGTGAAGCTGTAAGTTAGAGCCGGCACCAAAACTAAGACCCAGACGGGTAGTTTTGCAAAGATAGCGGTAAAGATGGCGAACTGCTGCTATATGAATTGGAGAAGGATTAGAAAGAAAACGACAGAGCTGTGTCATGGTATAGGTGATATCTGGTCTTGTTTGAGTAGCAGCATACATTGCAGAACCAACCATCGACGCAAAGAGCTCAATTTACGCTGTAGAGGCAGTCCCTTCAAAAGGAATCAGGTGCTGTCCTGGAAGCATTGGTGTACTGGTTGGAGTACAATTTTTGAGGCTATACTTTTCAAGAATCTTCTCAAGATAGGCATCTTGATGGAGATAGAGGATTCGATTTGCTCGTTTGCGTACAATACGGACGCCGACATAAAACTCTGCAGGTCCCATATCCACCATTTTGAAAGAATCATGTAGATGTCTTCGCAATTTCGAAACACCAGCCTCGGGACCAATGAGTAGAAAGTCATCTATATGAGTAACAAGATAAGTTTCATCAGAGTCACTATGATAAACGGAAGAATCAAGAAGTAAAGGCTTATAACCAAATTGTGCAACTTCAGAACGAAGTTTTGATTGCCAGAGATGTGGAGACTGCTTGAGACCATAGAGTGACTTCTTAAGTTTCCACATCCAGCGGTTGAGTGGGGATCCATCTGGAGTAGGTAACCCGTTTGGACATGCCATGTATATATCAGTGTCGATTTCAGGGTTGAGAAAGGCGGTAACTACATCCATTTGTTCAACTTGCCAGTCATTAGAAGCGGCGAGTGCGAGAAGAGCTTTCCAGACGCTGGAGAGTGCTGTACTGGCAAAAGTGTCTTTGTAGTCTAGGCCTTCCCTTTGATGAAAGCCCTTTGCAACATAGCGTGATTTAAAACGGGTTAGCTGGCCATCTTTCCCTGTCTTTCGCCTATAAACCCATCGTCCTGGAATGATATCACGTCCTGAAGGAAGCTCAGAGCGAGGTAAGAGCTGCGAAGTATCATTCATTTCAAGAGCTGTCAATTCTTCCCTCATAGATGCTTCCCAAAGAGCAGCACTGGGACTCAGTAGAGCTTCACGAAAGGTCTTTGGATCGCTGTCAGGAATGAGAGCTGATAGATACGACTGATACTCTAAAAGCAGAATAGGATTCTCATCCTGCGGAGTATGAAATGAATTTGAGCCTTTTGCTTTACTGCGAGTGACACGGATATTTGATTCGGGCTTAGAGAGATCGAATGAATTAGGTCCAGCTGTCAACTTGGGCTTATTCTTGGCACCGAGAGGTTGACCACGGCCGCGCTTAGGGAGTTGTGGGAGAGGTGCAAACAAAGGACCTTCTTCAGCAGGCATGTCGTGTCTTGCATCGAGGAGCGGAGGTATTTCATCATCCAAATGTGCACCCCCTACTGAGCCATTTTCTTTGGAATTATCTGAGTCCACTCCAATTCGTGGAGAATTAGGAAAGGGAATTTCAACCTCATCGACAAACTTAGAAGAGGGCTCAGGTATTTCATCAGGATGGTCTTCAGCAGAAAATTCATTGAAACGTCCCTCAAAGAAACGAACATGAGACGACCGTACAAGCTGATGGCCAAGAGGTCTTGAGGGGATCCAACAACAATAAATATGGTTCCCTTCAAATCCTACTAAGATACCTTCTTCAGCGCGTGCATCCATTTTCTGCGACTTTATTCGACGCTTGTTTGGTATGTATACAAGTACACGAGAGCCTAATACTCTGATTCCAGAATTATCAGGTTTGTGTTCAGAGGTATCGAATCCTGTAGCCCGAGATTGTGCTTCGTAGGGAGTCATATTGTCATAGACCAATGTGGTGATACAATTGAGAATGTAAATGACAGCACGGAATATCTCTGGCCAAAGAGAGAATGGGATACGCATATCTGATATGACACAACGCATTGGATCTAAAACTGTCCTATTTGATCTTTCTTGAGGGCCACCTTGTTCGTGAAAATAGGCTGTCGTAAGCTCGATTGCAATGCCATACTGCTGACACCAGGCGACCATTTTGTCACCCCCAAATTCTTTACCACCATCTAAACGAAAACATTTTGGCAGGAAATCATTTTGAGTTCGGAAGAAACGAGTAAAAGTGACCAAAACATCGAAAGTATTTCTATTTTCTAGGAAAGTGTAGCCATAATGTCCTCCTGTCTTTCCATCAGTGAAGATCATACCAGCTGTATGGCCATTATAACCGACAGGATTGCAAAAGAAGACATCTGCGTAAAATCTATCACCCCACTTCGACTCTCAATTACGCAGGTAGCGGCATATAACCTTCTTCGGCTTTGAGAATTC